GTGTGTGCTTACTGCAGGATGTGTTCAGTGTGAATGCGTGTGCTGTCATGGTATTTTGGCTGTTTATTAAAAGTTTCCGGGTTGAATCCTTCGGAGACTTATATGGACATCTTGTGTTGTCCGTGATAAATTGACGAAGACCCAATATAGCGCGTTACAGTCTGCAGAAAGACAAACAGCTGAGTGATGGAAACATAATGGCGAACCCAAAGGTTTTCTGAGAAGTAAGTGAAAAGGACTTTCAGCCAAGATTCTTGTGACGGGCCTATTGACAGTTTGGTGGTGGAGGTGGTGTTTTGTAAAGTTGGGCATGGTGTAGTATCTTGTTCAAAACCACAACAATTGACAAGATTTCTTAACTACATGCTGCGATTGTATCATTTTCTCATCCGTGTAAAATGGACCTGGAGAACTGAGGTCGTGTTTGATGTTAACCATGTTTTGGTAGCAATATCCTGCAAACCTGAACGTAACTCATTATCTCGATGTTTCCACGAGATATCATAACAAACCACAGAGACACACCAAACTTAAAATCACACCTTAATAAGATATCTGATCCAATATAGAAACAGCAAATATATATGCATACATACATATACGTGAAACTTCATAAGAACGTGTTTCGTTTCTCATCTTGAAACATCTAGCTAACCTAGAGCTACTCAACGCCAAATCTGTCTATAACAGAAGTACTTCTGGCCAGAAGAATGTCATCCACTTAAACTTCTGTTCTTGATTATTTACAATTCATTTAAGCAAGACAGTCGTTTGTTTAAGGCGCAATAAGGGCCGCGACTGAACAAGACGTTGAGTATATCCTGTAAACCCATCCAAAAGTTCACTTCATAGCTATGGAAACTCCGTCGGAAGTTGTTACGAATAAATACCATGGTTTAGCAATTAACACCGAGGCATTTTATAAAGCTGAAGGTCTGATAACCTGTACGTTTTGTGTGAGTTCCTACTTACAACAGCTTGTCTGTGTTGGAACTGAGAAGCGAGATACATGAATACTTCTAGGACATGTGACTTCTCCCTCGACGTGTCATTTGAATGCACTTATTCGATTATAAGCCCTGATATGTCTATTGAATGGAGATGTTCTGAAACATAGAGGGGCGAATGTGAGCTATCTACTGAAATACCACAAAGGATCACAAGAGCAATTCATTACCAGTCCCCAGGAACAGCAATAGTTTGGCATTTGAACTGCAAATTTGAAACGCAAGAGTGGTATTTCAGTCATAAGGATATCTATGTTTTTACAAAAAGTTGATTCCCACGCCGACCTGTAGCCCCTTCGTTGAAGCCTCTCCTTTCCTCAGAGCCAAAGGCAAACTGAAGTTCAGCTCGAAACGAGCAACAGGATGAGCATAAACAAGACCAACACCAGCAGCAACACTGGGAACACCGTTGAAAAGCTCACCAACTGCGTTCACCATGCCATTTCGGACAGCTGTCCCGGACAGCTCCTGCGTGGAACCACTGCTGGAGGACTTCTTGCTGTCCTTGAGAGCAACGAGACGACCACCATTAGCAAAGAGCTGGAATCGTAGACCGGAATCGGGTCCCTTGTAGGGAACGGGAAGAAGCATGTTGACACTGCCAGCAGCAAAGACATCGCCTCCGACAGAGTCAGAACCATCATGGGGGCCAAGACCTCCGAGCTTGAAGCCTCGGACGTCTGTTGGTCCTCCAAGTTGGAAGCGATCGTTAATACGAGTAGGGCGGAGCTTTCCACCAAACTCATAACCAAGAGGCAACGGGCAAAGCAAACCTAGTCTCAATCCACCACCAATCGAGATTCCTGTTCGCTCACGAATGCCTGGCAAAGGAATTGGGACAGCACCACCGACTTCGACCTCACCCTTTGAAAAGGCAACATCACCAGCGAGAGGGCCAAGACCAGCTACCTCAAGTCCAGATCGGAGCATGTATCCGCTCTGAGGAAGTTGAGGGTTATCACGCCTTTCCCTGTAGAATGTGTGCTTGATAGAGCTCTTGATAGAGTCACCAGCATCTGCGCGGACTGTTGGGCTGGCGTTTTCGGCCAAACCAGTAATTTGCCTCCAGATGCCTGAATACTCAACGGACTGTGTATCGCGCTGTTGGTTCAGCCACGAAAATCGCAGTGTACCACCCTTAAGGACCTCCTCATGAGAAGCCCATGGCTTTTCAGCGGCTGAAGCCACACCCTCGAGCGACAACCTCATATCGGGGTTACTCTTGACAGGTGCGGTAAGGGTGGCGCTATAAGCTGAGCGTGTACGTGTACCAGCCTTTGCATTAAGCGTCAACATCTCAGCACCACCAAACATGTTTCGCCATAATAGCGAACCATAAGCGGATCCCTCTCCATTGCCAACGTCGGTACCAGTTTGGAGCTTGAATCGAGACAGCTCCTTGACTCGGATATCAACGTTCACATCGGTGGGGGAGGTAGAAGGATCGGTCTGTTGGGCAGAGGTCAGGTAGACCTCGGGTTGAGGTTGGAATATTTCTATAGATCAGTTAATTTGGTGTTACGGTGAGGGCTACTGGAAATCATACGTAGGCCATCGAGCTTGTTGCTTGCGATACGGAGACTGGTGATGACATCGCCAACAGTCGAGCTTGCGTTCGAGGCATCGGCAATGAGGGGTTGGAAAATGGGATCGAGGAAATTTGTTCGTGTGTTGACCGCACCGTGGATTCGAAGCTCGTTGATCGTCATGGGCGCCAGTTGCTGGTCACCAATCTGCACAAAATTAACAAATGATCTGAAGCTCGGATCGATAAGAGAACATACCACCTGAGCCAGACGCCGTTGTTTGGCTTCATCTTGCTCTTTTTGGAATTCGGGCTTCGATTCTGCTTCATGCAACAAAGAACCGGTGTCGGAATGAAGCTTGTTAAAGGGGTCCATGGACTGCTTCATGTTAGATGATCGCTCCTCGTGTCTCAATGGTGGGATGGAATTACCGGACCCCCGGTTGACCCAGGAATTGCAGCCATTTTGGGTAGCTCAAGAGCCGAGTTTTTGCTTGCAATAGCCTCACGATGTCGATTTAAAGAGTATCGGACCACCAACTGGACCCTGACAGCCCAGCTTCCAATTAATCGCCGGTACGTACTTCCCGAGCTCCCGCGGGTGTGGACCCGAGACCTGTGGCTCAAAGCTGTGGCGCTTCAACGTCGTCATAGGATGGCATGTGATACACAGCCACAAACTATCCGGACCTAGCGGGACCGCTGTGCCTGGCAAAGGGTGCCTCCTCCTGCGTTCCTCTCCATTCATCTCAACTTATACACTCTTCATTTGCGCTCAAGCATAAGATATCGCTGCTTTTGAGTTTTTAGAGAGAATCTTCTCTTTCAGTTCACCCGAGTTTCATAAACACTCGTTCCTTTCCTTTAATTCGCTAATTCCTTCAACCTCGATTCTACTCACGCGACCCGCAATCTGTCCCGTTCTCTTTGTCAACTTCTAAGCCCAACACATTCAGATCGTCAGCATGGCTAGCAAAGGCGCCACCAAGCGTGTATGCACTTCTACTCCCACCACTTTGAATGTGCAATACTAATTATTGGATAGTTGACACGCGAATATAAAACCATTTCAGAGAACCCTCCTCCTTACATTGTCGCTCATCCATCCGAATCCAACATCCTTGAGTATGTTACGTCACGCCCAACATTCGGTCGCGAGTCGACTTTGCTAACACAACTCAGATGGCACTACATCATTACCGGTCCTGAAGACACTCCTTATCATGGCGGTCAGTATTGGGGCACTCTCATGTTCCCCCCAAACTATCCGTTTGCTCCTCCCGCCATTCGCATGCACACTCCGTCCGGTCGATTCCAGCCTTCGTCGCGACTATGTCTGTCCATCTCCGATTTCCACCCGAAGTCTTTTAACCCCGCATGGGAAGTTTCAACTATCCTAATCGGCCTTCTCTCATTCATGACAAGCGAAGAGATGACGACCGGTTCCGTTTCCAGCACTGCCGCCGAACGACGCTCCCTCGCCGCTCGATCACGCTGGTGGAACTCGACTGGTAATGGCACACACAACAAGACAGGCCCTGTCCAGAAGGGCAACATCAAGGCTGGTGACGGCGGCGCCAAGTTTCGAACAGAGTGGCCAGAGGTGGATGCTGAGAATTGGGAGTGGATGACCAAGAACAAGGTTGACCCTGTCACCGGTACACGATTAGATGCTGATAACAGCGGATCCTGTCGACCTCAGCTTGGTATTTCAGGGACTAGCGGTCATCAAACACAAGCCGTTGTTGATGTGGTCAACCAACAAAGAGATGCGAGCACAGGGTGGATCTATCGCAACAAACTTCTTGTTGCTGGTGCGGCTATCTTCTTCTACGTCCTTGTCGCTAGACTCGTTAGCGGAGATGAATGATTGGGGAGAGTTCTATTCCTGAGGGGCTTCATGTTCATCTAATTCTAGCTTTTGTTTTATTACTGGCGGACTGGCGGGCGCAATAGGTTAACAAGCCAGATATCAGGACTCACGTCTCGATATGGCGTTTCAGGGCATTCAATGAGCGTTTACTTGATGGGTTTCAATTTGATTGTCATCAGCTCAATCGCCTGCATCGGTTGTGATTTATCGGATAGAGACTCTAATACATCAAACAGGTAGACCAACATGCCACAATGCTCCTTGTATTAAGTGTATATCCGTCCGCGAGAATCAGTTGACGCAAGCAAAGTCAAGCAGAAACAAGCAGGCAGCTGTGCTTTTGATAGGCAACTAGCATAAGTTCCGTAGACAAACAACAAGCCCAGCCTATCGTAACCCTCAAACAAGGCTACAATCAGAGTTAAATGTCGGAAGCCGGCTGATGACTGTTCACTGCAGAAGCTCAACCTTTATTTGTTGGTTACTATCCGGCGGGCGGGAGTATTGTTGGCTGCGCTAGCCCACTCGAGGCCCCTGAAGTTTAGCGCAAGTCTTAACGCGGGCACCTACGGCATGGCGGGGAGGTCTGAGGTCTGGTCTACCTACAAGAAAAATTGTGACGAAAGCCCCAATTTTTGTTACCTTGGGACTTGTCTCCATCCTTTGGAAGCCGTTGGAAGCACCTCCTCGACATCATCATCATCCGGGTTTCCAGGTTGGTGAAATTCTCACAGCATAATTCTCCCTATTCATCACCTGCTACAGCACCTTATCCTCTCTAAGCCCTGTGGTTTGTTGCCTTTCATTCCTTAATTCACCCTCCTTACGATACACACCCGTCATCGAAATCCGCTCCTACTTGAGCTCTTGCTCTCCGCACAAACAGCTGCAACCGGACCCTCATTTCTAGTGCATCGCCAGTTCGCCTCCGATCCACGGCCACTACCTTACCCTTCAGCCCAGAATCGACAAAAGGGCTCTTAGTTAAAACGAAGACGTCTGCTCTCCATGCCTCTTCCTCTAGATCCGTAGAGCCCCCCTCCCTCCGAATCCTCTGTTGAGGCCTGGCGCTGGCTAGCTGATCGCCCGCCGATACCTTCCCCGCCGAACCGTCAACGATCTCGTCCATGAAATGGCGCCCCAAAATGGCAATATGAAGACTCGCCGAAATGGCGGGAGCAAGCTCTCTCAGTCCTCCAAGCCTGTCATGCCTGCTATCCCACTGCCTTATGTGAAGCGTCAGGCCGCTTCTGCTGCTGCTCGTGCCAATGCTGTCCCTGTTTCTTCGACTGCTGCCTCCACCACGATCCAGGAACCGGATGTGCGCTCACCCATTAAGGTGAAGCACGTAAATGGTAACGTGTCTGCTGAGGCTAAGAAGGATGATTCTGCGGCTACGGCTCCAAGCACAATTGCTAGTCGAACTTCGACCTCGACCTCCAAGGCCGAGGAGGTGACCGAAACAAAGGCAGACGCTCACAAAGAAACAAAGAACGGCGCTTCTGACCCGACCAACACCCAGGCTTCTTCCTGTAAGTGCTTCAGACGTGCCCATTCTCAAGACGCACCCCAAGACCCTTTACTTACACATATTTCTTTCATTGCAGCCGCATCTGGTCCTGAACATCCTACCACCATCAACGATAGCGAGAACATCCACAAAACCCCCATGGTCTCAGGCCATTCTGATCAGCCCACCCCCAAGAACCAGGTCGATGTTAAGGCTCGATCAGTCGACAAGGTTTCAGCCGGAGTGAACGAGAAGCCCAATGGTGTTTCAAGCAAGGGCGATATCAAAACTCTGTCTGGTAGGCAGTCTTACTTTTTTCAAGCCCTCTAAATACTCATAACTCGAATTTAGACAACCATCCACCTTCAAAGCCCAACAAAGGCCGGCCTCCTTCTGCTGTCCCACCGGGCCGATACCAGATGCCCCCTTCCTTTCAGCCTGCTGCTCGACCTATGGGACCAAACGTGAACGGCGATATGCGTGGCCATCGCGCTCCTCTGCCTAACGGTCCGCCTATGCACCAGCCTCATCACAGCAACGGCAGCATCCATTTCGGCGCTTTCCACGGTTCGACGAGCTCCTCTCCTGCTCCTCCATCTGGTGGTATTGCCCCTCCTCCCGGTATGACAGGTCCTGATGGTCGACCCTACATGGCCCCTGGTGCCAACGGCTTCCCCCCTATGATGCCGTATGGCGCAGAACAGGTTCCGGTTACTACTTTCGATAACTACGGAAGACCTACTATGGCTTATGGACCGATGGACTCTTTCCCTCCCTTCCCTAACAATTTTGGCCCCCCAACCCCACACAGCTATCATGATTCACAGGCATCAGGTCCTCCCGACGATGGCAGTGTCTACAACCAGTTTTCTTCAGCTCCAGCGCGAAATGGCGTACCTGCTCCAGAGGAGACTCAGTCTCCCAACCAGCCAGGCAGAATGTTTGGTGGTCCCGAGTATCCGCGAATGATGCCGAATGCCGGACCTCCCCCGCACATGATGTCTACAATGGATGGTGCTGAAGGTCTGATTGGTCATTTGGTGCAACAGTTTGGATCTCCCGAATTTGCTGATTGCGTTTTGGAGCTTCGATACGCGGATGAAAGAACTCCTCCAGTTCGCATTCCGGGTCACCGAGTCCTCTTTTCTCGCAGTGCCGAGCTCGCAAACGCCATCGCTAAGCAGTCCCGACCTAACCCCAATGTTCCATCTCTTCCCACCATCGTTCTCGAGACCAAGAGCAAATGGATTCGCTCCAACCCGTTTTATATGGCCGCTCACTGTCTTTACGGATGGCCACTCTTGGACCCTACTGCTGAGGGCATGAAGCAGGCTGCAGCTGATTACAACCAGTTGATTGACCGCTTCGAATTTGCTCTTTCGTATGCTGCAGCCGGCCATCTCCTCCGCTGGGATCCGGTCACGCGGCGTGGTTGCGAGGTTGCTGTGCAACTTCTGAACTGGCAGACCGTTGAGAAGGCCTTGGAGTTCGCCTTGGAGGATCACCGAGACGAGGGGTCTTATGATGTGTTCAAGTACGGCGATGGATCTCGAGCTATTCTCAACGAGATCGTCTCTTTTATCGCAAGCAACACCAGTCCTACTTTCAAGATTGACACTTCAGTAACCGACCCGTCGAGCTATGCTCGTCTTCCACAAACTGCCCTTACTAGTAACGCCACTACCCGCAAGCTCTCGCCCCCACCCATTGCTCGAGGCACATCCGTGCATCTTGGCAAGGGCAAGGGGCGTCTCTCTCAGCAGATTTCTGGTATTCAGTTCGGCGACCTTTCTTTGACTGACGGCAAGGTCTCGCCAGCTTCGGATGCTTCAGGCGGTTCACAGCAACGAACTCCTTTCAATGCAGTGCTTTCTCGAATTCTCCTTAATCTTCCATTCGAAACTCTTAAAGCACTGCTCGAGGCTGCAACTAACAAGGCCAACGGATGGCCAAATGCAGAGGCAGTTTACCGCGTGGTCAAAGACACAGTAGCTGAGAGAGAGCGACGTCGGCTTCAGATCGTTGAACTGGTCAAGACCCACCAGGTCACAGCCTGGGCCGTCATCACCCAACAGCTTTCCAGTCCTGAGCCGAGATACGTCGGTCTCTGGAGTGCGCTGGGCTGGCGAGAGGAGATTCTGCCTTTTGGACCTTCAGAGAGCCCAGCCCTTGGTCGCACTTGGGTTCCCTTCGTGGGCCCTCAAGCAAGCACTCAAGCAGCTTACCCCTAAGCAACCTGGTTCACGCTACAGATTTTTCAATTTGATGAATGATATTGTGGGTTATGTTGATGCTGGATAATCGGGAGGGCGATATGCAGAAACATGGCAAACGAAGCTGAGACTGATTTCTCAGTCTCTCGACAAAAGCTAGTACTTTTGATTTCGGGATGAAAAGGTGGCGTCCGTGATCCTGCTTACTAGGGAGAGGATATGATGCTCTTTGGAGAGTTTTGGTTGATGAACGGCGTTGGGGGCATGTCAACATTGGTTGCTTTAAAGCGAGGAATGTTTTTAACGAATGGAAACTTCGGTGGGAGGCACAGGAAGGAAAAAGAAAACAAAAAGTATTTAATGATTCCATATTGCTAGGACCGGTGGTTCAATCTCACTTGTCCTGGGTCTGGCTGGCATCAATGGCCTGGAACTGGACCAGACTGGACTGGACTGATATGAAGGGGTTATGATGAATGATAGTGACTTTGGAAGTTAAAAAGGACGGTAGTTTCGGCATCAAATGGAGTATGCGTCGTTATGTCTCTCATTTGAGAGATAGCATTAGGTAGCCTTTTTACGACTGGTTTGATACCCCAGACTGACTTATGCGTTCAATGTGAAGTACCTTATGACGATATGACTTTTTCATGCGCATAGTGGGCGTGTTATCGGGAGTCGAGCCTCTTTGGGTAGTTCAGAAAGTTGAACGTGTTGATGAATTTCATGTGATGGTGATGTCCGGCTGGAGAAGAGCAACTTAGCTACCGAGGGCGGGGAACCCCTGTTGGACGACCCCATAAGCAACGATATCGTGTGTCTCTATTCGCTAATTGAGCATTGCTTTAATTAACTGGGATAGCCTTAGCAGGGTCTCGATATGCGAATGCCAAAAGATAGTGGGCTCCAAGGTCAGCTTAGACCAAGAGCCGAGGTCGAATTCTCCACTTTACGTCGTCTTGCTCATTTCCAAGTTCTTGTGATTTCATCCCTTCCGTGCCTCCCACCATTCGTCACTTCACTTCACTTCACTTCATCAACAAACAGATTGGATGTGAGAGCTTCGATCTGGACCCTCAGCACTGAAGCTGTGTAACCAAGTCCAGGTTATTTCTGATTCAGATAAATTGGTTTATTCATTTACTTGATGCCTCTCTCGGGAGCTACTGCTCGAATGCGCCGCTGGAGCTCAGCTCGTGGAACCGCAGACACGCCATAAATTGAACCAAACACGATCCTTTTTATCAACAACAACATCCGCTCCTTAATCGCAATGGAACCCTCCATCTCTTCAGGCGACGCCTCAAGCTCGCGATCTTCAAGAGCTGTAAACGACCCTGTTCTCCGAAACACGTTGCGCTACACCATCTCAGCTCACGAATATGCTGCACTCCATAAATACATTCTCTCGCGGAGTCGCGTACTGCGCCGTGCAACACCAACGCCAAACCGTGTTGAAAAGGCGCTGCAACCGCCAAAAGGAGGCGACGATTATAATGCCAGAACGGTGCGACATGCGCTTAGGGTCTTTGTGATGACTTTCCTCGGCATGAAGGGATGGGATATTGTCGCGAAGAGGATGGGTAAAGAAGAGTGAGTAGCTCACTGATGAAATAAGTGCGCAAATGGCTAATTATTCTCGATAGACCCAGTGCTGGTGGCAAAAAGAAGCCATTCTACAAGTCTCCCGCCCTGAGGCTGTCTATTTCGCTTTCTACTATTCTTCTCCTTTACAGAATCCTCTTCCGCTTCTTCACTCGACTGCGTGTGCATCTTCTCGACCCTCAAGTCGAGCCATTCCGTGCGCGCAATCCTCGAACTGCAGCGATGCTGACATCTCCTTCTGCGCCCGCCATCGGTGCCTCATTCGCTGGCCTGGCTCTTGGCATTTACCCAGCACAAAAGATGCGTGTCACTATCGCCATTTACACTATCTTCCGTGCTTTGGAGTTTGCCTACAACTTCTGTGAGGCCGATGGTCTCATCTGGGGCCGAAAGAATGGCGTTAAGAGGGAGAGACCTTGGTGGTTCGGAAGTTGGATGCTGCAGCCATTTGCTTTTGGACAGCTTCTTCATGCTGCTGTTTTCGATCGCGATTGCTTCCCCAAGCCTTTTGGAGATTTGATCTTCAAGAGTTCATCGGCATACTTGCACCCGCGCCCGCAAGATTGGCCGTCAAGCGTTAAGTGGCCTCAGACTTCTGAGATTGTTGACAGTTTGGCTCAAATGGCGCGCCTGAGCTGGCCGTAAGTTAACAAGCCCTGAGAAGAAGACTTCATACTGACCGTCATAGTGCCTATGTTTCTCCCACTCTCTTCCCCGGCAAGGAGGTTCTTCCCCCTAGCCTCAGTGCAATTGCGCCACTGACATCTCGAGCTCATCCTCTCATCACATCTCTCTCATGCGCCACACTGCACCCAGGAGACCCATCTTGTGCCCGAACTTATCTTACTTTCTGGCTTCAGACTTTCCCGCCATTTGCTCGCTTCTTCGTCGCAGTCTTCTCTGCGCTTACCGTCATTCCTCGATTCTCCAGCCTCTACCACAACCCTCTGGCGACCCTTCAGCGCATCATCACCAAGGCCCTCCGCATGTCTACCTTTGCGACAGGTGCGCTTTCCACAGCCTGGGCTTCGATCTGCTTCTTTCAGCAATGGCTTCCACGCCACGTTCTTGCTACTCAGCGTGTCTTCCTCGGTGGTTTCTTCGCTGGTCTCTGGGCATTCGTTGAGCGACGAAATGGCCGTGGACTGTTCCTGTACAGCGCCCGCGCTAGTGTCGACAGCCTCTGGAAGGTTGGTGTGAAGCGACGTTGGTGGAAGAGCATGAAGGGCGGTGATGTCTGGGTCTTCATGCTGGCACTCATGGTCACTGGTGTTGTCTACGAGAAGGATGCTCAAGCAATCCGCGAGACAAACTGGCGAAAGGGAGTCAGCTGGCTTCAGGGTCAGGGATGGAGAGATTGGGGAGCTGAGGATGACGAGGATGAGGAGAACAAGGACAAGGAGGAGTGATGTTTCATGGATGATGAAAGCACAGTATGGTGTTGGGCGCAATTGCGGTTGCTTATTGGCATAGGATGGAGGCTTGTTTATGTTTGCATTCATTGATAGTCTGATATCCCACATAATGGTAGTATTTATCGCATAATAATTTCATTCAAAAACCTTCGCACCTGAGTCAGCAGATGTTCTAGACACACTAAATGCATCGAGTGTAAGAATGAGATGACCCATGAAAGAGGAAGTTTTCTCTGAGAGACCCCTTTCTGTGCAGGCTCTCGCGGATCTGCACGAACCTGTACTGTGATCTTCAGGCTGCAAGTAGACTCTTGAAGGTATGAGGAAGACTTTTCTACATCTTACATCTTACATTGAGATCACTGAGGTTTCTCTCATTCTCTGCCTCTACAACTCACTTCTCCGTACATGACTCTCGCTCAAATGAACTGGGATTGATAGGGGGTTCAATAATAGAGCCCTTGTAATAAGTTAGGGAATCACAGTAACCCTAGAGCATTTACGACAGCATCGGATTGCTTGAAATAAGTGTCGCTTTCATCGGAAGTCTTTAGGAATGAACATGATATGATCCGAGATAGTGCACTAGTTACCGAGGTATACTGCAGCTTATCAGTAATCATTGCCTACCGGACAGCAAACGATTGAGATGATGACATATTCAGTCTCATGCAAGAGTAATTCAGTCATTTCTTATAAAAGATAAGCCGAGTGACTTTAATGCACAGGACCAACACTACAGAAGGTCAGGTGTTGACAGCTGCAGGGCAGACTCACAACTTCAAACCCACCGGGATGATAAATGCGTAAGTAGTATCCGTCACAGTCGATGGGGCATTTTACTAAAGAACCAGAAACTACCTAAGCATAAATAACTCTCAATTTCCACTTCCTCATTCCCTCTCAATTCTTGTATCATCATCACATTATTATCTCTACCAGGCTTTCTCCGTCTCACTACCTTAGTCTCCGTCTCCGGATCCGGGTGTCCAAGACTAGACCCCGCCTGCTGCCCGCCGCCCGCCCGGACCTCCGCATCTCCGCCCCGGAGCTTCTTCAATCATTCACCTTGGCCAAATCATTGGTCACAGCCTGGATTGCGTTCACTTCAAAACCCCTAAACAAAATGGCTACACCTGCCAACACTGCTGCTGAGGCCCTCGCTTCTGAGCAGACATACTTTGCTCAGAACCCTCCTCCCCGCAATTTATCAGCCCACACAGCTCTCGCCGCTGGCTTCATCTCCTCTCACGCCGCTGCGGGCCGTCGCGTTGTCCTCGTCACATCGGGCGGCACTACCGTCCCTCTTGAGAAGCAGACTGTTCGGTACATCGACAACTTCAGTGCTGGAACTCGTGGTGCTACGAGCGCCGAGTACTTTCTCGAAGCTGGATATGCCGTCATCTTCCTCCATCGTCAGTTCAGTCTGCTGCCGTACTCGCGACATTATTCGCATGCTACCGATTGCTTCTTGGACTTTTTGACTGAGGATGGAAGTGGAAGAATTGGTGTGAGGAGTGAGGTGCAGGATAAGATGCAGGAGGTGCTGAGAAAGTATCGCAAGGCGAGAGATGACAATATGCTTCTCACACTACCCTTCGTCACTATTGTCGACTATCTCCATGAGCTGCGAGAAATTGCCCGGCTCATGCGTCCTCTCGGTCCATCTGGTCTTCTCTACCTCGCCGCAGCCGTTTCGGACTTTTTCGTTCCTCCTGATCGTATGGCCGAGCACAAGATCCAGTCAACCAACGCCGTTGAGCAGAAGCGACCAGACGATGAAGAGACTTTTGATAACTTTGACTCATCGCCATCTGTCCCACGCTCAAAGCGCCTCGTCATCGACCTCGATCCCGTCCCCAAGTTTCTCAAGAATCTCGTGGATGGATGGGCGCCAGAGGGTATGATTGTGTCCTTCAAGCTTGAGACGGACCCAGCGCTTCTGGTGCGCAAGGCTCGCTACAGTCTTGATCGATATCAGCATCATCTCGTTATTGGAAATCTTCTGTCTACGCGCAAGTGGGAAGTTGTGTTTGTGAGTCCTAAGAGGGAAGATAACTGGGTGCGTGTGCCCAGGGAGGGCGGTTGGGGAGAAGCTGAGGGCAGGCCGCTTGTGGCAGAGGAGTTGCCAGGTCAGGAACCAGATGTCGAGATTGAATCGCTCATTATTCCTGCGGTGCAAGAGCTTCATGGTGAGCATATCAAGGCGCAGAAACAGAAGTAGGCCATGCTCTCGGTTCAAGAAAATTGCGGAATACCTAGATAGAATGCTCTGTACAACGAGGTGAGCAAAAGCATACAAAGCAATAACTATGATATTTTCCTACGTATTGTGGTATCTATGTAAAACAACTCGCAGCAATGATATTGACATTCTTAACTCTTTTTAGTATCCAGAACTCCGTTCCCAAGATAAATGCAATACTTTTAAAGGTGTCATGATTTTGTGTGTTCAGTTCTCGATAAAAGACGACAGCCGTTCAGTCTCGAGGTTTGATTCCGTTAGATGCTGATGTGCTCGATGAATGTTCAAAGGGCAGCCTTCCAGTTGTGCCAGCCCAACAGAGTGACCTTGGCCAGGAAGAGTGAGATCATGGATGCCACGTAAACGGCACCAGTCAAGATGATTAGACCCCAGTATTCACCACCATTGGCTTGGACAATGCTACCACCAATGGGAATACCGATCAGACAAGCAAAAGACACGATTGTATATGCCGTAGCATAATAGCGTCCATACTCTTGCGTCTTGCACAGTCGACCAATACAGACAGGCGCAATGGCAATGGACGTTCCCGAGGAGAAACCAAACAACACGGTGAAGATAATGACACCAGCTGTGGTTCCACCAAGAGGTAGCCATACGCAGAAGCAGGCCACAATGGCAAGGATCACAGCCAGGATGCTGACGTTAAAAGGACCGATCACATCGGCATAGTAGCCAGGCAAAAGTCGACCGATGACCGAACCAGCGTTGAGGATAGGGATGAGGTTGTAGGAAAAGTCCTTTCCGAAGCCCTTGTGCAGCGCATATGTCGAGATGTAGCCGAGAGGAATGAAGAGGGAGAACTCCAACATGAAGACGCCAATCGTGGTGAAGAGGAAAGGCAGACTCTTGAAGATGAGAAAGTTGGGGTGCGCAGTAGCGTCCTTGGCGGGTGGAAGTCGGGATTTGAGAAGGCAGATACCGATCAAACTGCAGACGAGGCAGATGAGAGCAATGACTCGAGTTGCCCATCCGTAACCAATCTTTTCGATTAGCCTCGTCAACATGAAAGGGTAGATGATACCACCCAATCCACCAGCAGTAGATGCAACACCAGTCGCTAGTCCACGTCGAGCCTTGAAGAAGTGGCCTACAGCAGCGATCGAGGGGGTGAAGAGTAGTGATGATCCAAAACCGCAGAGGAGGCCAAAGGCGACGACAAAGTGCCAGAGTTCTATAACAGTCAGCACATCAACCCACAAAGCCAAAGAGAACTTACCAGTCGCAAAACTCATAAAGATCATACCACCAACGGTGAACGCAGCGCCAGCAATGACAAGCCATCTCGGACCATACTTATCAAAGACAGGACCAATGTACACACCGCAGAAGAAGGCGAGAAAGGTGTAGATAGAAAAGATCCAACCAACGGTACCCTCGCTATACTCTGTGAGTTGGTTGTCGAGAACATAGGCCTGAAAAGTGCCGAGGGTGTTCATTAGTCCAAGCGAAGCGAATAGAGAGAACCACGAACCAGCGACCACGGACCACGCCTGCAAGCCGCCCTCGGGATACGTTTCCTGGAACGACGCTGTCGATGCTGCAGTCGGTTGCTTCTCTAGATCGGTCCCCGTCTTGCCATTGTTTTCGTTTCCTTGGTCGATCTGGTTGACATGATCGTTGATCTCGTCATCCTCGTAGAGGGCACGAGATGTGACTTGGTGACAATCCATTGTTGGTGGCTCTGAGCAATCGTAATGTTCCTTTTCCGTCCCCGAATACCTAGCACGCTCTTCTTCCTTCTTTTACAATTGTCGTAGCATATCAGAGACGTAGTTGAAAACTCGGGGGTGAAAACAAAAGATCAGACATGCTTAAATATAAGAATGATCGGATTTCGGCGTGGCCCCGGGTCGAAAAATCCAGGCCCGCTTTCGGAGTGCGGCCTGAATTGCCGTAGTGGTCGAGTTTCTCGTTGACATGAGAGTAATGAAAACTCATCATTTGTTCGTCAAGGTTCTTGAGCTCCACCCTTTACACGGATATATACGGTCGTAAATCCAACTGAGAGAGACTTGTTGGGTCTAAACCCAAAACATGGTAGACGCCTTCTCAATACAAGTCCCATTGTTAATGCAGCCCAATTTGCCATCTTTTCTCCTCGGAAACGGGGAACGTTGTCGGTCAAGATAGTCAGCGCACTTGGTCCTCCGCCATTGAATTGTGGGTGGTCAGATGGGTCCTCTACCCCAGCTTTGTCCCTATGCCGCTGTCTTAACCGGCCTCAACCCCTCGAGCTCGTTTGTTGGTCTGAGTCACATCGCTCTTCTGATAGGCTTGAAGAGTCGTGATTGAATGGGTTCGCCCAATTATATCCTTTTTGGGAAGCATTTGGTCGGGGAATTATGCATTACTATCTGTCAATTGCATCAATGGCACCATAGCTGGCTGAACTAACCTCCTCTCCAGAATCAAGCCTCTTCGTCTTCCACATCCTCCATAGTCACATGCCGTGATGATTGGCCTTGATCGGGTCGTGCTTCCGCGTTACGATCTCCCGTTTTGAGATAGCCCTCTTGTTCTAGTCGATCCGCTTCCTCCGGCTCTATTAAACCTCCTTGACCTTGGCCCTTGTTCATCTTCATCTTAACTGCCGTAGGCACAAATGCCGAAACAGCCTCTTTCCTGAGATCGCGCACCACAGGCTTGGCTTCGTATACTGTTTTCGCTTCGACGACTGGCGCTTCCTTCTTTTGTTGTTTGTTCTCGCCGTCCGGCCTTGTTGGGTTCTCCGCCGCTCTCCTTGCTCGTCGTTCGGCATACCATTTGTCCATGACTTCTTTGGGAATCGGCGGTGGTGTATCTCGGGGCATAGGAATACTCTTGACATCGTCGGGAACCTCCTCGTCGCTTGTCGTAGCATCATTAGAACCTCTGCGCCTCTTCCCTAATACCCCAGATCCTGAGTCGTGATCTCTGTTCCATCCTCGGCTGAATGTGGGCGCTTTGTCGCCAAGTGCTTCTCTGGCCTTCTTCACTGCTTTAAGTTCCTTTTCGAGCCCTTCTAATGTTTGTTCCTCGTGATGAGTAAGCTTGCCGCCGCTTGATGTGATTTTCTTGAGGTCGTCGATCTGTTTTTGAATGCGTTCGGGGTTCTTTCGCGATAGCTTCTCGTTTAGGCGTTCTTGTCTTTCATGCTTGCCTGTGATGCCGATTAGAAAGTCAAATGTGATCATCAGAACTCGTCTTACCTTTCTTGAGAGCCCTCGCCTTATCAGCTTTGCGCTGAGCCTGCACAGGGTTGTAATTCTTCTCTTTAGGCATTGTGAAGTACCAGGGACGGGGATAAACGCGCGGCTTGAATTGAGAGGGTTAATGATTTGTCAAATGACGTTATCGAGGATCAATAACAAGAAGAAAAAAATCGCTAGAGGATATGCGAGAAGTTGTTGTAAGCTGAGTACGACTTGTTCAAGATGGTTTGGTCTGGCTAAAGCTTCCTTGTCGCGATCATCTGGCTCCACTTGATGACTAAGATTAGATGTCATGATAAAAAATCACAACAGCTTTCAGTGAATGATAGACCCAAAAATGATGTCACGGCGATCTTCTACTTGCGTTTGAACCTTTTTAGATCTTAATTTACTGACGTATGCAGGGTCTGGATGTTGCAGATTGGCTCAAAGTTGCTGCTGTAGCGTGCAATTCATATCCTTGAATACTAATACTCGTATCACAAGAGCGCCTCCAACACTTTGATCATCTTTACGTAGTAATGAAAGTTAAATAGTCCCTTTGATGTACATATCTGATCAACATGTGCGTTGCCAAGTCACAGTGATCATCATATATCCCCTGTTGAGCCCTTGACAATTGAAACCAGAAATAAGTCATAATTATTCATAGCAGCAAAAAAATGTCCATCCAAAAACAAAGCATAAGTAAATCCCCAAAGAAATTTCAAGCTGAGTTAACAGGTCGAAGATTTCGTGGCATGCTACATAATCATGCCATAGATCATCCTTTCTCCTTTCCATGCATCCAATTCCATTGACGGAGGTAAATCAAGCGCCGGAATCCCTTGGTTTTCCGATCCCATCCTGTCTGTTGTAAACGCCTTAATCATTGTGTAGCTGTGTGCTGGGTATGCCGCCGAAGTTTGTAGTGTACAGCCGAATCTTTGTTCATAAACCTGGTCTCAAATCGACAGGCCAAGATGCTTATCTTGTTTTGGTTCACTCGACTTTATTTCCACACCCAGCTGTTGGGCAACACAACTACTGGAGACGTCTTTGCCCATATACTTTTGCAGAATGGTGTCAAAGTCGGTCTCAGCAACCACAGGACCAGTGCCAGAGCACTTGGCCTTCTTGGTAAGTTCAGAGCAGAGGCCGTCGAGGTCGAATTCACCATTCTGTGCCTTGGGGCAAGCTTGAAGTTTCTCCCTGTAGAAACGTGTTAGAGACAGACATTTCCTGATTCTATAAGTTGATACATACCACAGTTGATTGCAGTTCATGTTCTGCTTCTTGAGAGGTTCGTCATCGGACTCCTTTTGAGCATCAATCTGATCAATCAAGTTCGATGGCTTCTTGGCCTGGCCATTGAGATGCGCGCTGGGGCTGTTAGGAGCCATGTTGTAAGGAGTAAAGAAATCGCTGTCAAGAGCATCGTTGAAGAAGTCGTCGAAAGATGGATTTGCCAAGACGTTTTCTTGAGGCTCACGATAATCACCAAAGAGCTGTGGGTCAAACTGTCCACCGTTCTGTTGTGACAGCCAGTCAAAGTTGGTGCTGTTGAGATCAATATTGCCGAATTGACTGGGGTTGTTATTGTTGTTCTGATGTGTCTGCTCCTCGCCAATGGTAGTCATCGTATCAACGGGCTTGAAGCCCATGGGAGACTGGTTGAAAGGCTCAGGCGATGTTCCGCAAGAAGAGCTGGGACCGGTGTTTGAATGAGATGAAGCAGATGGGGAGCTGGAAGCGCCATTGACGCTGTAGTTTGCAGAGTCAACACTCGCACGAGAGGGGTTGGTGGCAGAGCTTGCCATGGAAGGGCTGAAGACACCCGAGAACTTGGCCAAGTCATCCTTGAATTGTTGTACGGATTGCGCGCTATTGTTGAGGCTGGTGGTAGGGCTTGGGTATGTGATCTTTTGCTGATCCGGGCTTGTAGGCGATGAGCCAGTCTTGCTGACAGGTGGTCCTGGAAGCATGCCAAATTTGGGAAACTCGAACTGGAAGTTAACATCGCCGAGGTTGCTGACGGCAGCGCTGCCGAAAGGAACCTTTTCTCTGGGCAGTGACTTGGTAGCTGACATCACTGTGACCTTCTGCTTATACTGGTTGAGTTCAGCTGTCATGCGCTCAACCTGAGCTCGAAGCATGCCATTCTCATGGTTGGCAGCCTGCGAAGCCTTCTCTAGCTCTTCAACCTTTGTCTCAAGGTCCTTCAAATGCTTCTCCTTGCGTTCTCTGAAAGCACGCTGAGCGGCTCGATTTTGAGCCTTGCGCTTCTATTGTATGGATTAGTAAGTAAATTTTATATGTAATCAATTGATAAAACGTACCGAGCTGGGCTCGGATGTAAGAGGCTTACGACCGGGCTTCTTAGGGACCTTGTCGGTACTCTCACGGCGCTTGTGATCCCCACCAGGGCTATCTTCGTCATCCTCGTCGTCGGGGTAGCTGCGCTTCTCTGGAGTATCAGTCTCTGGGGAGTCGGACAGAGCGACAGAACCAGAGTTGTTGTTGGGCTCCGTGGAAGCAGCAGGAAGATCTCCAATCATGGAAGGCTGGTCCTCGCTGGCGAAGGAGAAGTCGAAACCAGAATCGCCAAAGTCATAGTCGTAGTTGTCGAGGAAGGGACTCTCCTGGTAACCTGTAGCGGTGGCGGGCTTTTGTTGGCCAGCAGAATTGCGGAACGTCGTGGGAGAAACCGTCAGAGAATTGTCCACGGAAGAACCAGAGAGCTGCTGTTTGTTGGAGTTGAGAGCAGCGAAGAGCAGGTTCTGCTGTTGCGGGGTCAAGAGAAAGTTGGGTGGCAAAGTGCCTCCAGTACCAGTAGAAGCCATCGCGAAATTTATGAAACGGGCGATCGAAAAGAGGCGTAACGGTGAAGAACGATTTGATATCGAGGCAGACGAAACTGATGCCGCGCGGTTTGATAATAGATTCAAGCTCTCTGCCAGTCCAGGCTCACGCAGGAGGGGACAAAGAGCCAGACCAGAGCCTGTCTGTGCCTGAAGCCTGTGTAGCGGCGACGTCGGGGACCTAGACGAGCGGGGCAGGCTTCTGCTGGGTTATGATACTGGCATATAATTGTCAAAAGGCGATGAGAAGAGAGGCGAAGTTGAAAATAAGAAGAACGGAGTTTTCGGATTCAGGCCGCAAAGGACAGGATAGAAACTGAAGCTACTATGGTATGTAAGGTGACAGTATGTAAGATTGATGATGAAATCGGTGGTTTCTGGTGTCAGGCGGAGCCAAGAATGGGCGAGGAAGGGAAATCGAGTGAGATGGATGGCTGCAGTAGGTAGAGCGGGGGCAGCTGAGCGGGCGTTGAATCGCACTGTAGGTACTGTATCTACGCGTACCAGAGCAAGCAAAGGCAAGCTGGCAAGGGTCCAATGCGGAGCGTCGGACTAGAAAATTTGCTGCCTGAGTCACAAAGATTCCTTCTAGTTCATTCTTCCATCAGCTCACTAGACCCTGAACAGGAACCATTCTGGGTGGGGGTCAGCGAGTTTCCGAGAGAGGCTGGGTACAGGAACGTGAACTCTCGACAGTGCGAATAGCGTCAAAGTTGCATTTGTCAGCCGGGGCTACCGGTCCTCGGGACCCATGGATAACGTCCGTCACCCAAAGACTGGCCACCCCCACAGACCGGCCACCCCGACCAAAACACCAAGAACCGGATATCATGATCAATTAACTAATTATCTCAACACCACATTTTTTATATTAAATAAAAATTTAGTCAGTGAATATTTAGATGAAACTGAGTACAAAGGTCCTCAAGTTTTAATTTCTTAACCCTATTTGCCGTT